CGGGGACGGAGCGTGGCCCCACCAAGCCCCCGGGCTGGAGGCTCTCCAGCCGCCCGCTGGCACGCCGTGCGGGTGGCATGCCTGGTAATGCGGCGCAGGTGATCCGAAGGGGCTGGGGGTGCTGAATTTGGGCAGAAATCTTCCCTGCAGGAGGCTGAGCGCCCCATCCCTGGGGAAGCGTGAGGGTGGGGGGTGCAAGCCTGGGGGGTCTGTTATGGTCCCAGCTTTGGGGGGTCCCAGATTGGGTGGGCAATGACAAAGCTGTCTTGCACACAGGGATTTTATTTCTGTGAATCTCTTTTTTTTTTTTTTAAAGCAGATTTAATGAGCACGGCTGTCCAAGCAGGGTCAAGCCTTAGCTCCGAAAGCCGTCAAATCCCAGAGCGTTGTTTGCTTTGCTCTGATAACGAGGTTCTTCATAACCGCGGGCGGTGCGAGGGATCCATTAGCCCCACGCATGTGTAAGGGGGAGGACTGCTCGGAAGGAAAGGCTTTGCCACTTACTGTGAAGGTCAAGGCTTTTGGCACCGATTTGAAAAAAAAAAAAAAAACAACCAAACAAACAGGGTCTTGTCTCAGGGTCTTGTTGTTACCCAACAGCTTTTTGCAGATAAGGAGGGTGGTTAACAAAGTGGTCAAGCTTGTGGCGTGTTCTTGCAGTTGCTTAAAAGGCTTCCTTGCCACTGGGCCTGGCTTCTTGAGATGAAGAAACTGGCCAGAAAAACATCCTGTTGCTTCACTTGCCCATGAGCCAACTTGCCTTGTGCCTGCATGGATGGAGCCGGTGGCAGCATCGAGGTGCCGGATGCTCTGCCCTGGCAAGCTTTACCTGCTGGAGGAGGAATGGGGAACGTCAACATCTGCACCTTCCCCATCCTTCTGCATCACGCCAGGCTGTGTTTGACCTCAGTCATGCTCTTCTGCCCAAGACACCACGAACATCCCAAATGTCTGAGTCCAAGATGAGCGCTGGCTGATGGAGGTCCCCTCTGGGCTGCCTCATTGCAGAGCCCAACCCAGCTTGTCCCACCTTGGCTACTGCCTCCTTTGCTGTGGTAGCAAATGTGCCAGCCCTTGGGCTTGCTCGGGGCTTGCCCAACACCCCAGTAACTCACTCTGCTTTCCTCCCAGCCACCACGATGCCCCTGTCTCAGAGCAGGGCTGGGCAGATGCCATGCAGCAGCAAGGTGTGCAGGAACCTCTTTGGCCCTGTGGACCACCACCAGCTCCAGAATGACTTTGAGGACCTGCTGAGGCAACAGCTGGAAGAAGCTCAGCAGCGCTGGAACTTCAACTTTGAGACAGAGACTCCCTTGGAAGGACACTTCAAGTGGGAGAGGGTCTTCCTCACTGAGCAGCCACCCCAGGAGGTCCACAGCCTGGTCAAGGTCACTGGCAGTGAGAGCTCCTTGGTCCACAAGGACCCCTCCAAGGACCATCTTGGCAGGATTTGCCCTGCGGGGTCTCAGCAGAGCTCAGAGGTTTACAGGGCTGGTTCCCCACAGAGCTTGAAACGTGGGCAGACCACCATCAAAGGTGAGTGCTGGAGGCGCGGTGTCATTCCATGCATGCTTGGTGGCATCGCTGGTGTCATGGCTTTCCTGGTAGGGACAGATGGAGATGACTTGGGTGCACGAGCCCTGCCTGGCTCCTGGGCATGGGGAGGGTACCACCCTCCACGCATCTCTCCTGGGAGAGCAGAGCCCATCTTCCAAGGGGAAAAGGCTGCAAACTGGGTGCCTTTTGGTTGCTGGGGGTTAGGCAAGGGGCTCACATCAGGTTTGTGGGTCTTGTAGCTGAAGATGCCCCAAAATAGTTCATCACCCTCAGTTCTCATGGCCTGAGACTGTCCTCTAAGATCAAGGGCTGGGGTGGAAGTGCAGGTGAGACCAAACAGAAGAGATTGTGGAGACCTAAAGGTTCTTCTCTCCAGGAATGCATGGCTTTGGGTGGGTGGCTCTAAAATGGAGTCCACCTGGGCTTCCCTGGGGTGCTTCACCTTTGGGATGCTTCCCTGAGGACACCTCCCTCTTCCTGCCCCACTGCTCCTGGTGGGCTGGAGGCACTTTCTAACCTTCTCTTTCTGCCTTCCAGACTTCTACAGCTCCAAGCGGAGGACCGTCCCTGGCAAGCCCAAGCCATGACCTGGCAGTGCTCGGCTCCTCTGCCATCGGGGACAGCTGCCAATGCTGACGTGCCCTGGGGGTGTCCGTGGCTCTTTTCCCCCACCCTGTACTGTGTAAGCTGTCTGTATGAAGCAATGTAGAGTCTGTAGTTCCCTATTTATGAGTAGCTCTGGGGTCCTGAGGGACCTTCATCGTGTGCAATGTATAGGAGTAGCCCATGTTGAGGTTTGTAGCCCCACGGAGGGGATGGAGGAGGACTGAAACAGGCCTGGTGGGACTAAGGCATTGCCCTGCCTGCAGAGAAGAA